AAGGATGTCTAACACTTTCCATATGGCAACTGAATTGTGGCTTTTAATTGCACCAACTGGTATCATTCAAGGATAATTCCCTTGGAATCCAGCTTTCTGCTATAATATTGGCCAATTCACTAATCTCATCACCATGGCACTAATACTTTCAGAACTGTCAAGATAGACTACGTGCACCACTAATTTAATTATCTGGGTTTGTTGGCACCAAATTATAACACTAAATAAGATTTTGCCTCTCTATCTTCCAATACCGAGTTTGGCAATTTTATTTTAAATACCATACACATAACATTTTATATCTCAAAATATTTTTTCAGTCATGTAAATACATAGCTCGGCTGAGTTCTAAACCTCTCAGTCCATACAAGTAACTATTTCTACAACAGTGCCATTAGTGTACTTGAAAATATTTCAAAGATCACCTCAAGCAGTCACACAAGATAGCGCCTTAGGATATTTGTAATTGATCTTACTACCATATTAGCAAGAAGAGAGTCCTTCAAATGTCATTCTATCCATAAAATGACCCCAAAAGCAGCGCTACAATTAAATCTTCCACTTCAGTGGCCTTTAAAGCCACATAGTTTATACAGGCCACTAAAAAGTCTCATTTCTGGTTATTATTTTCACTTTGGATGTGTACTCTATCCAGCTGTGCCTCTCATAAGGCAATGCATTTCTACATACACAAACACATACTATTTAACAGTGGGGAATTAGGAAGAACTTTTTTCTAAAATTAATGAAGAACCATGCAAGAAGAAGAGTAAAACTGAGACTGGCCCCTAGTCCCCTGTTAGTCATGCAAGGAATGTCCATTAATGTCAGTGGCAGTTAGAGGCATAGAACAAATGGAGAACAAGCCCCAGCTAAGAAACAGTGATGTGCTTCAGCATTTCCCAGAGCATCAATCCCAGACCAGGTACTCAACTCTAATTAATATCAATTAAGTTAGAATGTGAGGATCACTAGCACCAAGCAGTCCTTTACTGCAGAAATGGTGAGCCAAAGGCTTTCCTGTTTCACCTGAAATTGTTACTTCCTACTTGGCTCACTGTGAGCTAGTTTGAAATTTAATTAAAAACCAGATTTTTTTTTCCAGTCCCAAATACTGATTTCAATGAGATGCACAACCAAGAAACTGAAAAATTTCATATGGCTTTGAAGATAAAAATAATTGAACTAAGCAATGTCATATTTAACATTTTCCCCTCTAGCACAGAACTACTTCTCAGTTAAATAAATAAATACATGTATATTTGCAAACAATGTTGATCTCCAGAAATGGTTTGCAAAAATAAACATGCTGCATAAATTTAAACTTAAGAATTATGCAGGATAATCCACAGTGCCAGGAAACCTCTCAATCTCTAGGCACAAGTTAACTCGTTCATAAAGCAGCAAAAGAAGCACATTCACTTGCTCTAACAGATCTACAACTCCAGTGGTTTTAATTAGCTTTGAAAATAGAATATGACTCTTCATGGATGCAACAAAATTCCTCTTTAATTCTCTGTGATGGAGAATGAGAAGGGTGTGGCCAGCCCTCAGCCTCCTCAGTAATTAAAACACTTAGAGCAGAGCAGCCCCTGCTGGGCGGGTGGCAATGGCTTAATTAGCCCAGAGCAGAAAGCTGTTTACACCCCAGAAGTGCACATGTTAAATACACTCCCCTCCCTTGATTCATGCCTTCACTCAACAATTTACCGCTATGAGATCAATCTCAGATGACAGATGCAGTTTGCAATAGCTGGACACTGATTACTCATATCCCAGTGAATTCGTGCTGGGGAGAAATATATCAGATGAGGGAAGTCTTCTCCAACCAAGAAAACTCAAACCTTCAGTTCAGGAAGGTAACAGGTACTGCATGCTGAAGCCCCTACTTGTGTCAAACACTCTGTGACCAAACTGACACAAAGACCTGCCCTCCACAGATACTTCATGAGAGTCATACATGCAAATTAAATCAGTCTAGAGAGGAACACAAATGAAATTTAATTGCTTTCCTATATTAGTCATTCATTCCTCTTTAAAAAGGCTAGATGAATCTGTACTTCAGTGTCACCTCCTCTGGATGACGAATTTAAGTGAAACAATTCAGTGTGTTCGTTCTTGAGGAAACCAGTCTTTCAACTCCAACCAACACAGAATTTTTGGCCTATGTGGGGTAACATAAATCAAACTACACTATCATATTCAAGCTCTAATCAAAATGACCAAATCATCAGTTTCAGATACGGAAGCAACTCAGCGCTGTGTTTTCTATCAACAGCTCTTTGGAAGTGTACTGGATTTCACCAAATAGGTGAAATGCTTACGAAACCCTCATCAACAAAAATCTGGTTAAGGACTCCTAAAAGGAAAATTATTCCTAAGACCACTGTTGGTTTTCTCGTTTTTTTGTTGTTCGTGGTGGTGGTGGTGGTGGTTGTTTGTTGTTTAAACTCAAGTTAATGTTTCTCTTGCTGCAAATATTTTCATTGGTGTTTGATCTAATTCTTTCTGCCATAAATCACAGAAGTGACAATTAAGACCTATTTCAGGGAAAAGAAGTTCTAATGAGAAACCAAGTTTCCCAGTCATGACAATAAAGCTGTTCCACTCCACAGTCTTACAAGCTAATTGAACATTTTTAAGAGGAGTTTTGAAGCAGTAAGCAGAAGAGCCCTTGGCTGAATTCAAGAGCAACTACACTGTGTTACTGGGGGAACACACAACGCCACTAGGAGAAGTGACCAGTAGCCTTCCTACACCTAGAGGTGAATGGAGAACCAAGAAGTTAGGCAACAATCCACTTTGAATCTTGGTATAATTGTATAAGAGATCAAAGACATCTCAGAAGAGAAACAGTTGTGCAGTCTCGTTTACGGAGTCAATAGCTCCGTAATCCTTGTCAAAGACTGTACATATGGCACATCTGTTTCCAATGTAGGATTAGAAACACATCCTTCCATATTACCAAAAGTTCGTATTTTAAAGGAACTTCAGTGAAGCTGTCATAGTGTGGCTGTGATAGGATGACAAATGAACTGAATCAATTAGCAGGCCATATATGCATGCAGATACAATCAAATATATTAGGCAATAAATTCCCAATATTTTCAAACATCCTGAAACAGCTTTATCAGGATGACAGTAAAAAGCCTCATGGGAACAGAGCTTTTAAACCTATTTACAGTTTTATAATGTAGTAAAAAGTACAGGCTAATTTTTAGTTAATGGCCTGCTAATTGCTGAGCTATCCTGAGGACATCTCACAATACTTCGCTCTACTGTCATTCCAGCTGAGCAGACATCACAGAACTGAAGTTTTCTAAATAACAAAGTATATTTATTATCAAAGATATTTTTTCTTTCCAGAAAGCAAACTACCCTTGTGAAATGCGTTCTCATTCACAAAGCTGAAGTCAGCAATTTAGACGTTTATATTTTAAAACCATGTTTAGTTTGGTGAGTTCAACTTTCTTTCCTAGAAAAAGTGTGTGTGAGTGGCAGAACACAGCTGAAAAACCTGACTTTCAAAAATGAGGATAATGAAAGATAACTTAAAGGCACGTTTTAACTCTCTGCAGCTGTATCATACATGTATGTACCATTACTAATGTCAGCATACTGTCTCCAAGTAAAATACAATGGAAATCACTAAAACCAGACAGCTGCAAGGTGAACACCAAGCAAAGCAATCAAGTTCATCATTTACAAGCACTTATTGATATAAGGGGTATCCTACCCTCCTCACCTCACTTCCAGTGATTCCCAAACAATTTAGCCTCCTCTATATACAATACTGAAGAAATCTAAAGAGTTATTAGCTTTTTCAAGTCTACACATCATCCGTGCAATTCAAGACCACACCTAACATGAAGTCTGCTTGATCTCTTCTCCAGTTCACAAGTTATTTATTACCTCTCTCTCCTTCCCCCAGAAAGAAGAAATGCAGACTTCTGACAATAAAAGTGATGGCTAACAATGTAGCGAGGCTGCTGGAGATCTGGTGGCCCTGCTCTACTTGTGTTCTCAAAGCCACATTCCTTGCTGAGAAGTACAGATTCCAATCTCCCCATCTCTCAGGTTACTTTTCCATTGATGCATCTTTCAGTGTTTGATCCAGATCTCATGGAAGTCAATGGGAGTCTTTCAGTAAACACCAATAAATTCTGGATCATACCTTGAAATCATACTACGAGGACCATACCTGAGCACAACTGCCTTTGTTCATCTGTTCATCTCCCATCATGCCTTTTTGTTTAAAGGGACAAACAAACAAAAAGATCAACAAATAGCTTAAACATTTCCTCCAGTGCAGCTTTACATAAGAGGACTGGAGGAAAGAGAAAGGTTGGAAGATGACCAGCATGTGGTAACAGCCAGGACAAGTGACGTGTGCCCCACACTAACAGCACAGAGCAAGTAAATAACAATAAACTCGTAGGGAACTTCTCCTTTCCTGAGCTGCTCTGCCAAAACGTGACAAACTTGTGCACCAATCGGGGTACACAAGCTTGCACACACTGGGGCTGGCTTCTCTCCAG